GGGATCTTTGCTTGTGCCAGGATTTATCCGTGGACCATCGCGTATCAGATCCGATTGATTGGAATAAAAGATCAATGCTCTTGCTTCATAAAGAAAACAATCACAAAAGTAAATAATCTCGACCAAGCGAGATTACTACTCTTCTCAAGATCAAAACCAAGTTTGATCCGAAGGAAAGGGAATGAGCCTCAGATCTCTCGAACTCTCCCTCTTTATGCTGAAGAACTTTGCCAAGATCTGCTAGCCTCTCTGAAATTCATCAGAACCTCACCCTAGCTCCTCTGAAATTCATGGATCCCTTCAGATTTACCTTTATGAGGGTGCTAGGGGTGTATTTATAAATTTTAAATGCAGTGTTTGTGGATAGGATCGAAGAACAACCGTTATAATCCGTTTAGGTGGGTTTTTAGTTGTGTAATAGCTTCCACACGTTTAAGGATAACCCCACATATTTATGAATGACCCTAAGGAGTTCTAGAAGCCAATCTTATCAGAAAACACGTCGAGAGCTGACCTGGGCGCGAGTCACTTCGAAGTGACTTGGAATTTCCGAGTCACTTTGAGGTGACTCGGATTCTCCGAGACAGTTTGTACTGTCTTCAGTATTTTAGTTTTAACTCTCTCGTTCGACCTCAGAATAAAGTGATTCAAGATGTGTTAGAAAGCCAACAAAAAGAGCTACAACTTTTATCATTTGAGATTTTTAGATTCAAATCTCATCATGGTAAAAATTTTACTTCTTCGTGTAGGTCACTCTAGAGTCCTCTTGATTATATTTGCTTTGTCGTTTCACACATTTCGACATTTCACGTGCGTTTCTTCCCTTCTTTTTACAACATCGGATGATCCTCTTTAACTTGGATAATCCTTTCTAACTCGAATAATATCATTCATCGTCTTCTCTCCGTTTTAAACTACGTGCGGGAACGTATAGGCAATTTTTGACGCCTACAATACATAGTGCACATAACCTGGATCAACATTATGTGCATGTAGTAAAAACTTTTAAACTCAAACCATGTTGCATTATGTTCACATACATATACACATACTCAGAATAACATTGAAACTCATATTCAGAATAGCATTGAGGTGCACATAGATGTCAAAAACCAAAAATACATGTACAACACACTACATTGTCTTACATCCAGAGAAACAATAACATATTAACATATACTTCTTCACTCCAGCATTTAAGAATCATTTTGTGAAGTAGCTATGATTGTAGGTTGGGGTTGACTAGATCCTTCTCTATATGCCATTTCGCCATTCTCTCCTTGCCATAATCCAAATCATTCGGGGATGTTTGGTTGAGTGCTTCTACCCTTGCCTCTACCCCTCCCTCCACTCCTGCCCATGACATATGACCCACCTTCAGTGAACCCTCTATCTGTGGATATTCCCCTTCCTTCAACCCTCTCTTTATATATATCTTTTGGCTTTTCTCTCTATCACTAATGAAGCTGTTGTGGGAGCATTGTTCCTTGCTAATTCTTCACTGGATTGTCCAATTACATTCTTACTTCCTTTAGGCCTGCCAAAATTTCTCCCTTGAGTTGATGATGATCCTTCAGTTTGTTGATTTGTTACCTAAGATGTCAACAAAAAGAAAAAAAATATTGATTAAAATACAAGTCAAAATAATTAACACAAAATATTCAAACTCAAACATCTTACTTGTGTTTTAGGTTGCAATGGATTGGGACAATTTCTTCGTGTATGTCCAGTAGATCTGCAACTAGAGCACTTGTGGGTAACTCCTGCTCTTGGTGCCTTATGAGGATCCCTCCTCCTTGCTACGTTGGGTCTCCCAAGCTTTCTATTGACAATGTGAGGAGACAAAATCATTTCCTCACCATCCATATTCCAAAACCTACTATCTTCAACTGGGCTCAACAAGCCACAATCAATACCATATAGTTTTTTACCGTGTAAAAGTCTGACAAATAAATTTCAAGAGGGGCTTCTCATAAACAAACTAGTAGAAATAACATGACAACATGGTACCCCTGTCAAATCCCACACCATATATGTGCAAGTACCATTGGCTAAATTAACATCACAATTAGAACCCCACCCCTTATGTTTCACTTCAAAACCATTTTGATCATCTTGCCCATTCCAGTGAACTTCAAGGTGTGTCTACTCATCATAAGTCTCTTGCATTTTTTTTAAGAATTCTAGGAGCTACCCCACCAACAAATTGTTCCCTAAGCTTAACTTTCTTTTGCATTCAATCTAATATCTTCTAACATTGAAATTATTGGCTTGTATCTTCTAACATTGAAATTATCTACTTACTGCCATTTTTCACATAAACCAAGTCATAATGTTTTTGAATTGAGTAGTTAACAATTGCCTCTTTTAGTATTTTCCTAGAGGTGAACTTCAACCCAAGTTTAAACACCACCGACTTCATATCACTATCTTCATTGAAATACCTGTAATCTGTTTTCTCCATTCTGCTTCTTTTTCTCCTCTTCAATTTCCCTCATCTTCACTATCTTCTAAGGCATCATCATCATCACTTCCCCTTTGATCAGACTAACATCCTCCCTCAAATCCAAGCTCTTGGCTATTGATTCTTATGTGTAATAGTTCTTCTTGATCTTGGCTCCCCTTATGTTCCACTCCTCTTTAGTATCTTGTGTTGGTGTAATAGACTCAGTTTCATACATAGATGATAGCACATGATCAACACCCTCAGTGGGCTCATTAGGTGGTTGGATACTTTCTGATGGGCTAGGATCAATATTTGGTGCATTAGAGTCAGAAATGTTGGCTCTATGGTGTACTACACCTCTCAATTCACCACCGCCATCAGTTGTAAGCTTTGCTCGAGCATCAAAGTCAATTCCCCCCTTTTTAGCACTCAGAAGTTTTTGATTTCTTTCTCTATAATCATATAACTCATCATTGTCGCTATTCAATGCATCTCTAGCTTGGTTATCATTTGATTCAACAGATTTTTCACTCTCATAATCATCCCCTACATTCAAATTATTCTCTGCATCAATATTTCTAGTCACATTTACACTTGATGTAACTTTGACTTCTACATTCTCTTCAGGAATTTTTCATGTGCTTTGCCCTTCCTTTTAACATTAACTTGTCCTCTAAACTCATCAAATAAGCCCAATTCATCAAAATTATCATCTTCCAAGCCCTCAATTAGTTCAATCTTATATGTTTCATCATCCGTCTCATCATCACTTTCGCTAGGTGATTCATTTGCCTCAGAAACTGGTTTAACATGTGCTGCACTAGGAAACTGAGTTGTTGTTTGGCAGTAGGATGAGGTGGACATATTTAAAATTGGGTTGGCATGTGGTGCACTAGGAGATTGAGTTCTTGTTTGGCAACTGGATCTGCTAGACATATTTCTCCTAGGTGTTAATTTTTTCTTTGACACCATTTTCTTATACTTTGTAGGAGTTTTGTGAATGATATTTCTATTTTTTGAAGATGGTGGTTTAGTGACATCCTCCAATGGAATGTCCACCTCTGATGGTATTGAAAGATGATGATCAACAAAAATCTCAACCACTTTGTGCTTTTGAGCTTCCTTAAGCATCACTAGAACTATGAGCATTCAACTTTCTCAACCCACCCATATCATAAAGAATAACATAGAGATAGCACATTGTAACATCCATACTTTTCCATACAATTCATGAGAAAAGGAATAGAGAATATATTTTCTTCTATGAACTCTACATCAAATGTTTCTCCAACATATTCAACTGATCCCCTGCTCCAAATATCAACTGACCACCATGTCTAAAATTTACCATAATAGACCAATTCATCTGCGTAAAATAAACAAAATAAACGTCAATTTTTCAGCAAAACATACCAACATTAAACCCAACAAATAGTTAATCTTAATTTACAAAATCCCTAATTTTACCCTAACTTTCAGTAATACTATCAATTTATACAAATTTGCCCTAATTTTACCTTAATGCACTTAATAGAACCATATCTTTCAATTATTTGTGTTCAAAAGCCAAAAAACAAACCTTAATAAAACCCTAACAAGAAAATTTGAACTTACCTTTGAGACTAAGAGAAAATGTCGTTCTTCAATTCATAAAATTTGCCACTATGAATTTGTCTCCACCCACAAATCTACTTCCACCCATGAGATTCCTCGTTGTCCTTCGTTTCCACTTCTCCCCTCTCTTCTCTCTTCAATTCCTTCTTCAGTTTGTTTTGTAATTTAATCTTAGTTTTCCTCCATTAATGGTAGTTAGTGTCTCGCCCTGTCCCCCCTAACCTCCAGCCACATAATGAAAACAAAGCCATGTCAGCTTCCCGTTTATGTTAAATCTAAAGACGTGTGGTCACGTGAGATCGATTTAACAATTCGATCGCCGGAGTAGGCTTAAACGGTTAAGTGAGTCACTTTATAGGTCTTATTGTCGCAGGAGTTACTTTTTAGGCATTATTGATCACAGTTTATCACTTTTTAGTCTAGGGGGGTTGTTGGTTTCAAATCCTATAATTTTAGGATATGGATTTCACCATGCGATTTAAAATCCATAAGTGTTTTGTTATGAGTTGGGATTTCTAAAATGTTGTTTGTTTTATTAATATTTTGGGATTTGAAATACTACAATTTATAATATTTTGTTTGTTTCAAGCTCAAATTGTAGCATTACCAAATACCAAAAATTTATAATATGATGAATATGCTATCTTGTTGAGGCTACCTCCCATAAAAAGACAAAATTGAGATTTGTCAAATCCTCTCCAATTGAGAAGTAAGCATACACATTTATGAAATTTGTCAAAATCCTATCCATTTAAGAGGATTTGGCAAATTCTAAAAATTAGACACTTTTTACACTTTTGGGATTCAATATTCTAAAATTTTTCTTAAAACAAACACGATATATGGAATCGCAAAATATAAAAAGACTTATTTTTTAATCCTAAAATTTATCAAATGCCAAATTTTTTGGTGAAACAAACACCACCTAAATTTATATTTTGGCTATAGATTTTTTAGATCCATTGGCTTTATCCTTCTCCTTCATCCCATGTTGACAGCTTCTGGTGCACCGCGGGATAGCGAGAGACCCAAGATGCTTTCCAGAGAGCAGCTCCTCCATCTCTTCTCCCGCTTTGCTTTTCTCACTTCCCAACCCGGTACTTTTCCCAAATTTCATTTTGCCCCCTCATCTTTTTCTCTTCGTCTCCAATTTGTTAACTTTTTTTCTCTCGGATTCACTCTGCGAAATTTTCTATTTGGAATTGCAGATGTAAAGAAGCAAATCGCAGATGCCGTCAAAGATAAGCAGGTCATTTTTTTAACCAATATCCTCTTTTTGTTAATTTATATTAGTATCAGTTTAGAAAACCCTAGTTTGAGTTGAATAGACTTATTGTATCAAATTGGGACTTTTGAAAAAAAAAAGTAAATTCTTCTCTTTTTAGCATTTTAGTAGTAATAATAGTTGCTCGTGTACGCTAATTAGGGATGAGATATCTCACTTCTTGCTATCTTGCTACTTCGATCTTAGTAGATGGTTTTGTAGAAATTTTTTTCCCCACTTGGTAATGGTTTGTGTTAAGACTCCATATAGTCCCGTATTGACTAGATGGGGAGTCAATTGGTACGAGATTTGGTTTCCCTCCCTTCACTGCTAGCTTTTACGGCCGAGTTCTCTTATGACCCTTACAAATGATGTCCGAGCCAACTTCACCTCAGTTGCAAATGAGCGGCGTGAGTTGCGACATCAGCGTTGTGATGCTCATGCTCGTCTAGGACTAGTGTAGTGCAAAGCCAAAGGTGTGAAGCGGGGTTGCATAATGCGATCAGGACTAGACTAGTGTAAGCCAACCTGTGTGGGCACAAGAACTGTAAAAGTGTTGTGGTATTTTTAGGATCCATTTAGCCCCCCATTGACTAAATGATGTTGGATATAAGAGGTGATTGGTCGGGGCCTTGAATGTGCTAGACTTTATTACTTGGAGTTGGAGTCATCGCAGAAACGTCTTGCCTGTTTACCTCTTCTGCACTTGATTTATGCCATAATCGATTAGGTCATCCATAACTTGCTCGATTGAATAAACTTAGGAGTATTCTTCATATTCCTTCAAATAGTAAGTCAAATATTTGCGACATTTGCTATGCTTCTCTGCAATCTCGGTTGCCTTTTCCTTCTAGTTCTATTTGTATTACTGAATCATTTTCTTTAATTCATATTGACATATGGGGAAAATATTCTGTGCCCACACATAATGGTGCTTGCTTTTTTTTTCCCTTAACAATTGTTGATGATTATAGTCATTGCACATGGACATTTTTAATGAAGTTTAAATCTCAAAGCTATTCTATTTTACGTAACTTTCATACTTATGTTAAAACCCAATTTAATAGATGCATAAAAGTTGTATGTTCTGATAATGATTTTGAATTCTTTTCATCAATCATAAATTGTTTTTTTAACGATAATGGAATCATACATCAACACAGTTGTGTATGTACACCCAACAGAATGGCGTCGTTGAAGGCAAGCACCGTCACCTTCTATCTGTAGCCTGTGCTCTACGCTTCAAAGTCAATTTACCTATATCATTTTGGGGTGATTTTCTCCTTATTGCCACACATTTGATCAATTGAACTCCTACGCCTCTTCTTCAAGGAGCTACACCCTTCAAACTTCTTCATAACTGTGAGCCGACATACACTCATTTTCGTGTATTTAGTTGCTTATGTTATGCCCAAGGTTTTAAATATCAGATGTTGGGTTCATGTCGGACGGCTAAAATCCATGTCGGATAGCGAAAATCGGAGATATATCGAGGGATATGGACTAAATATCGGATTGCCATATCGGGTGATGCACATATGTATAATATCATATCCTAAATGTAATCTAAGCATTCCTAAATTCAATATAAGAATACTTTATAAATTTTATAGACTAGACATATAAAAAAGTAAATAATATATGATGTTTAGGATCACTAACCGATTGTAGAAATTTAATTCTCGATTGCATCCTGAAACAATTTGGGTGCTTGACCTACAAAATAAGAAAACAATGTTAGTAAAAATAGAATAACATGTAAAGAATAAAGCAAGTAACATATAAGATATAACATATAGAATGAAGATCACAACTCACAAGATATCATATCAAACATAAGCAAATCAAAACAAACAAATAAGTTTTTAAAGCTACTAATAGTTTATAATTGTTTAACATTCAAGAGCAAATCCATAAAAGTTAAACACTCTCTTCTTCCTCGTCAAAAGTAGCATTATCATCCCCATCCGACTCCATGAATAACACATCCATCTCTTCTTCCTCCTCATCTTCCATTAGCTCTTTTCCTTTCGATGAAGATGATCCCGATTTCTTCTTTCTTTTATACGTTTGCAACCTTCCACTCTTTCTCTTCCTTGGATTAGCTCCCGAAATATCTCCAACTTGCCTAAAAGTTAAAACACTTCCGGAAATACTTCATCATCACTAGCATTCCCCTCCTCACCCAACAACCATTCGGTGACTCTTTCCTCATCATCGTAGGCGGTTAAAGGATTTCTATTTGGGACGACATGCTTGTTCTTCAACTTTGCATTGAACTTGACAAAGACTAGGTCATGAAGTTTTTTATGAGTTAGTCTATTCCTCTTCTTCGTATGAATCTACAAAAGAAAATCATGAATTAGCATAAAAAACTAATCATCAAATACTACAATACAAGCCCTACAAGATGATTAAAATTTAAGAAATAATATTACCATCTCAAATGTACTCCAATTTCTTTCACAAGCCGAAGAGCTAGTTGTCAAGCCCAAAATCTTTATTGCCATCTTCCTTAACTCGGGAGTATCGTTTCCATAAAGTCTCCACCAAGTCACTAGTCAATTCATAATTAAAAATTTTAGTAACTTATAAATTCAAAAAAGAGGTCAATGAATTAATTTTAATGGGAACATAAATTTACCCGGACAATCACCCTTAGTAGCACTTCGCCTCGCAAATTGATCCCCAAATGACCCTAGGCATTCTTGATAATTAGGTATTTGATTTTCAATCTTTGTGAAAGTCGCATGGTCATCGGGATGAAAGAGTCTATGCATACACTTCACTATGGCATTCATGAAGCTTCCATCACTTTCAATGTCCGTGTAAGCCGGGTAATAGTAAAAAGGATTCAAAAAGTAACTCGTTTTATGTAGCGTTTCACAAAGATTCTTCTTAAATCTCGGCTCAATCATGGATAAAGTGGGATTGAACTTCTTCTCATCATTCCCAAGGGCCACTTTCAACTCCTCCATAGCCACCAACATGTCCCCATATATAAATCTCATCGAACCGATTTTATCACCATCCGCTCTTCGAAGAACCTTCACTAGAGTGAATACTTTGAGAGCAAAGTCTATATTATCCCAAAACTTGTTGCTAGCAATTATCTTCGCAACCTACAAACATACAAATAAATCCAATCAATGAAATATAAATGTTCAAATGAATAAAATAAATGCAATTAAAATTTTTAATTTAAAATATACCTTTTTACCCACTGATGTTCTTAAAAGGCTACAATCTGTCCATTGGTCAAAGATAAACATTTGCCTTATCTCTTTCTTATGATCTCTTAATGACTGTAGAGAAAGGAACGCCGTAGCAAACCTCGTAACTCCCGGTCTCACAAGATCATCCTTAGTGAACTCCCTAAATAATTGAAGAGGCTTGGTGTGATTATATATGAACACTGATACACTCCTCCCCATTAAAATGACATCACGAATGAGTTTTATCTTAGTTATATCACACAATATCAAGTACACCGTGTGTGCAACACAAGTCGTCCAAAATATATTTGGCCTATTCTCAATCAATAACTTAGAAGCTGCCATATTGTTTGAAGCTCCATCAGTGACTATCTGTATCACATTTGCCTCCCCTATCTGATCAATAGCCTTGTCTACAAAATCAAAGATATACTTAGCATCGTGCTTATCGGCCGATGCATCATATGAAGATAAAAAACAAGCTCTCCCAGCAGAATGTACAATTATGTTCATGATGCTTCTAGACTTCCGATCACTCCACGCATCGGTCATTATCGAGCAACCATTGACAACACAAGTCATTTTAAAGTTTTTAACAATTTCTTTTGTCTCTTCAACTTCTTTTTGCAAACATGTCTCACTCAATTCATACATGGATGGAGCTTGCAAATGACTTCCAAATAAGCTAATAGCTTGTAGCATTTGATGGAAAGAGGGAAGCGTGACGATATGAAATGGAATGCCGGCTTCATAGAACCATTTGGAGACGTATCGCAATACATCCTCCCTTTTCTTCTTTTTAAATTTGGAGTCCATCGTTGGTTGTTTCCCCTTCGCTACTATTTGGGCAATCTCCTCGGGAGAATGAGCGACGAAGGAGTCCATTGGTCCAATTACCTTGTGGGAGGATGACGAGCTTCTTTGACTACTCAATGAGATGGAGTTATGCTCCTCCTTATCCTCCCCAATATGCACCTCACTCAACAAGTTATGCATCTACATCTCCTTCTCATCCTTACTCTTCTTTGCATTATCTAAAATTTTAGAAACTTTCGTCTTAACATCATCGGGTACTTTCACACACGGCGCACAATTTCCCCTCTTTTTGGCTACGTGTTGTTTGAATCGGCTAATCCCGCCATTGAGAATTTGAGTGCAATATTTGCATTTAACTTTACTTGTATCAGAACCAACTCTCTCCCCATATAGCCAACATGGATTTTTACCGTTCGGTTTTGTTGTTGTTGACGGTCTAGTAGATCCTTGTCCTTCAGACGACATGATTCTACAAAATAAGACAAATACATATTTAGACAACATATTTATAATTCAATTACTAACTAAAAATTAATTTTACTTGACAGGGGAAAATTCAAGAAGGAGGCTTACCTGATTTTGAAAAACAAGTCCTCTTACTCAGCAATCACTACTCAACAGTCACACAAACTGAATCTGCAAAGTGCAAACAGAAAAAAAATTATCAACAGAGTTGCTATCAGACTGTCACATGAAGAAGAAAAGCAGAAACTCTTTAAACATGTAATATTCATATCATAAGATGATAAACAAGGATTATTATGAGAAATCAGGGATTATTAAATGATAAACAAGGATTATTACGAGGATTATTAAAAATTAAGACATTGAATCTTTCATATTAATTAAACAAGGTTACAACAAGTTCTCCATCAACCTTTCATATTAATTAATTCAAAATATCCTAACAAAATAATTCTCGGTTGTTATACACATATATACATCTCTTCATATTAATTCAAAATATCTCTCGTGGGAAAGACTAATTATAGCCCATAATCTCCCGGAGGAGTTGGCTGGTTTTGATGATCAAAATCTATACAGGTTTCCTGTTAACAAGGTCTTTTACAGATTTTATGCTTTACCATATCAAACAATTTTCTTTACCAAAAAAAAAAGAAACACATTTAAATTTCCCAACTTTACAGTTTGTACATGAAAAGTTTGCTGAAAAAGGAACACGCAAATTCATAAAACTAAAAAAATAGTCAATTGAAAATTCCGAAAAAACAAGTCTAATTTTCCAAAAAAAAAGTCTCAGTACCAATTCAAAAGAGAGGCGCTCAAAGAGAGAGAGAAAGGGGGGAGAGAGAGACATACCTCAGGATTCGGCGTAGTACAACTTCGAAGGAGGTTGACGACGGTTGACGGTGGCTGAAGCTTCAGGATTCGACGCAGTCGAACTTCGAAAGAGGTTGACGGCGGTTGACGGCTGCTGAAGC